ACAAATCTTTTTTCATTCAAAAGTTAAACTCAAACAGATACCAAACAGCAAGTTTATTTTGTACGCAGGATTCATTTGAAGAAACCCCGTCAATGCACACAATAGAAAATTCTTTGCGGTGATTTTTTTCCCTTTATATTATTATTTTTAAAAAGCTATTTCAACACCTTTATATATTCTTTAATTTTTTAAAATAAAATATTTTTTATTAAATAACATCCACAGGCACTATAGTGACATGACATAAATATAACCCTAATAAGTTATAGGTAATATGTGTAACGTCAAGTGCTTGTGGAGATTGTATTTCATTAACTATTTTTATTCCTTTTTTACTAGCACTTGTAGAGATCTAGAGCAGACGCATATTTAAAAAAAGGAGAAAAAAGGGGGTGGCGTGTGATTTAACAATGTATTGATGTATTAAATCTTATTCCATGCCTCCTTTCTACACGTTATAATGATTGAGCCCTCACATTTTATTGTTTTCAAAAGGTTTACGATCTGTTGGACCCCCCCCTCCTCCACAAAGTGCAAATTGTGGTCGTTTTTATTTCATCGTCAATTAAATATCTTTATGATTGCAACCATTTTTAAAGTGATGCAGAATTAAAAGCTTTTCCTGTAGAGATACTAAGTGACAAAATATTTAGAGCGCTTCACTTCAGTGAGATGACAATACATATAATAAGTTTTCATAATTTATGATATCTATGACTAGAGTAAGTATAAATTCCAATTCACAATTGATTTGTCAAAATTAAAAATAATAAATACGTTTAATTTCGATCGGGTTAGGTCCAAATATTAAAAAATGATTAATTTCTCTAAAATTTCTCAATTTCGTTTCAATTTCTTTTTAAAATATGATTGACAAACATGTTTTCCTCAGTTGTGACTAGTTTTATGGTGTTTTTAACCATTGGTTTAAAAAATATTCACAAATAATGTGTTTTATTTTTCTAAACAATTTTTTTTTAAATAAAAAAGTCTAGCCAGCCTTTCTTTACATATTACATATTAGATATTCATATGATGCATTCATTTACAGCAACCTTTTAACTCAAAAACAACTTATCTAAGAAATAAGGTATCATTTTTTTAGTTTTATTGGGATGTAAAACGGGTTGGCACATGATCAAATCTTCCATAAAGCCCTCTTTATGGAAGATTTGATAATGTGCCAACCCGTTCGGGCTTTATGAAAGATTTGACCATGTGCCAACCCGTTTTACATCCCAATAAAACTCAAAAAATGATATCTTATTACTTATATTTACATTTATGACTGATTTATTAAACATAGTAAGGCACTGATGTTTTAAATCCATAAGAGATTTACATTTTTTCAAAACTCAACGGTATAATTTGAATACGTTGAACACGTCGTTCACTTATGACGTCACTATGAAATTACGTAGGTTGCTTATGACTAAACAATCAATTTATGGTCACATGACGAACATGTTTTACCGAGATGTAAAAACACCTTGTTCAAATAGTGTTATATAAGGGCAAACATTTGCAAATGTAAAAACACCTTGTTCAAATAGTGTTATATAAGGGCAAACATTTGCAAATGTAAATATTTGGATATAAATATTTTTTTTCATTTTCTTTGAAACATACAAAAAAATTAATATAATTTAATTAAGAGCTAATATCGACCTTTCAATGTCTAAATCATTGTTTAAAAAGAATGACTCAAAGATCTATAAAATAATAAAATTGTGTGGCATTGCACCTTAAGATCGGGATTGAACTTTTAATAAAAAAAATGGCGGCTTCACGAAACCATTTTAATAACTAACACTTCTTTCACCAGTAATCTTACTGGACAGAGTTTCTACTCCAAAACTTGGAAAATCTGAACTGCAAATCTTTAAATGCTGTCTACGGAATAGATTATAATCTGTTTGGACTTGCTTATGTTGGTGAAACCAATTCCAACAATCTGTTTGAATTCCCATGGGTATAATTTGCGCACCGGTATTAGCATGTATCTATTTTTGTATTCATATGTAGCAGAATTTGTTCAAAATCTTATATATGAAAAGAAGAAAATACTTGAGGTGGCCTTCAACTCCATATTAAGATATATCGTCAATTAATAACAGTTATTTCCATTCTTATATCCAATATATCCTGGTGAGCTTGAGATAAAAGATACCACAGAGTCTGACACATCTGTCTCATCATTGGATATTTTACTTGATAAAGACGTTAATGATAATCTAACCTCCAAGCTTTATGATAAAAGTGATGACGTAAACTTTTCGATCGTCGATTTCCCTTACTTATGCATCAACATACCTTCATCATCTGCATACGGAGTTTATACCTTTCAGTTGATTTCGATACGTAAGAGCATGCTCTTTGTATAAAAAATTTCTTAAACGAGGTAAATTATTGACAAACATGTTGGTAAAACAAGAATATCAGCAGTCTCGTTTAAAGACATGCTTTTGTAAGTTCTATGGTCGATACAATGACCTTGTCAGAAAATAGAATTTAGCATTGAGTCGAATGCTTACTGACGTTTTTCATACTAATTGTTACTCCATTATTTATACACTGAATTGACGACGGATTTTCCCGTTATTTCCCGATCATGAAAAGGAGCACACGGCGGGTGTGACCGGTCAGCAGGGGATGCTCATTCCTTCATGGCATCTGATCCCACCTCTAAATGTCGACAAAACAAAAATAATGATTTTTGGAAGAAGTCGATGTTTTAAGAACACATGTTTTATATTTTACCTATGCTGGATTAAGTCTAGAGATTGTTGATAGTTATAAGTACTAGGAATATATTTTTCAAAATCAGGTTCTTTTAATCAAAATATAAAAGAACAATATAATAAATCTGTAAAAGCTATGTATGGAGTGATATCAAAATGTAAACAACATAATCTTTCTATGGATTGTCAGATAGATTTGTTTGACAGAATTGTACAACCAGTTTTGATATATGGATGTGAAATATGGGGATTTACAAAAAATACTTTAATCGAAAAACTTCACTTAAAATATTGTAAATATATACTAGGTTTGAACATGAATGATTTCTTTTTGGGCAAAACTACATTTTTCTCAAACGATGGATAAATTTGCTACAAAAATGTATGTACTAACATCAAGGCATAATTTGCCTTGGGCTAACTATGTTAAAAACATTTTAGATGATTGTGGATTATCTTATTTATGGACAACACAACAGATGTACAGTGTAGCATGGGTGAAAAATGAAATAAAAAGAATACTTGTTGACCAAAATATCCAAAACTGGCAAAGTAATGTTTTTAACTCTTCAAAGGGTGTACATTATCGTATTTATAAAGAAATATTAGAACCAGAAAGGTATCTTGTTAATCTACCTACAAAATTTTCAATTTTGTTATGTAAATTTAGATGTAATAACTTTAAACTCCCTATTGAAACTGGGAATTGGAATGGTCTTCCAAGAGAACAAAGGATTTGTACTTTATGTGATCTTTGTAAGATTGGTGATGAATACCATTATGTTTTTGAATGCACACAAAAAGAAATTAAAGAGGCTAGGTCAAAGTATATTTCAAACTCTCTCACATGTAGACCAAATATAGAGAAATTTAAGCAACTTTTTACAACAACAAACTGTCCAGCATTGAAAAAATTATGTAAATTTTTATTGATTGTCAAACAAATTTTAGATGAAAATAATTGACTTGAACTTTAACATGATATTTTGTACTGTTTATTACACATGTATTATTTTCTTTTTCTATGTGTTTGTATCTTTTCCTACCTCCTCTCTACAATGTATGTTTGTACATTTAAGACAATAAATCATTGTCATTGTCATTGATGTTTTCAAGGTCCTAGGTTGCTCTGCTCCTATTTTGCATTGTTTTAAGGATTTTTTTCACTTGAATGAAGGATACTGAGATAACGAACAGTATTCAATATCAAAGTCCAAAAAACAATATAAAACAGGGGCAGATTTTGAAATTAAATTGGGAATGTCCAGGAGATGTGCAATGAGGCTTTGTTTTTTTAACCACTGAATAAAAAAAAATTAAATAAATAAATAACCACAAGTTGATACTTTTGCAACGTATTTAACTTGTATTCATTTATTTCTAGGATGAACATTTCAATTTTGCAACTATTCTTAATGAAAATGCAATTATAAAGATAATTCACAATTGCTTAGGAAGTCATGTCATTTAAATATACATATTTTTATCAATCACATACAGGTTTTAGGTTTTAATATTTGCTAGCAATGCATAATGAACACTAATAACTACTGAATGCATACATTACAAATGATGCATCAAACAGCAGAATTTTTGAGAAATTTGGGAATCAAGAAAATTCATCTTCTTGCAATATTGTCACTGAATAAACATGTATAATGATACTTCGAAGACATCTTTGGTCAAGATAGGATAACATTTTCTTTTTTCTTATTGATAAGCTGATGCATATTATAGAAAGCAATTTATTTTTCTTCAAGAGTTTCTGTCACTTTTTCCGCCTTTGACTGGATAACACGTCCAAAATATTTGTGAAGGCATTTGAGTTAAACTCAGTTCTTGATATGAATTCGTCGCCTGAAAAAAAAAAGAAATCTTCTGTACATATCTGGAAGTTAATTGATTAAGATTTGAAATTTATCCTCTCTAGTGATCTACTTAATTTTCATTGTTATCGTTACAAAATCTTCATAACAAGGTCATGAAACATTCGACTTAAACATGATTAAGATTGAACATTTGTCCTTTTACGAAAAAAAAACGAAGGCAAAATTTATATTTCTCCACTAGTTATTAACGCTGTATAAAACTCACCATTTCTGTCTAACAATTTAAAAAGCAAGCCAACAACTCTTCTAGACCTAAAAGACGTAGTTGATGCTGTGTGAGTCTTAATATTTGGAATGTTGCTGCTATCTATTATTTCCTCAGAACCTTCAAAATTATTATCTGTTGTCATCCAAACATCAGTATGAAGGCTATTTTGTCGCTTTCCTATTCGAGGATAATCGTTTTCTGTGCTACTTGTGTAAAACAAACTATTGACACAATCACACATCACAAAGACAGTCAGCACCAAACGCCAACTTTGCATTCTCAAACCTGCAAAAGAAAGAAAGAAAAAGACATTAGATGATTCTGATCATACTCATTTATAAAGGACAAGCACTGAAAGGATCAAATTGAGCAGAGATACACGAGATGCAAAAAAACTGGAATGCAAATTGAAGGAAGAATAAGAGTTCATTTCTTGTTTTCGATTTTAAAATTAAAATTTGGTCGATGCGGAACAAAATACAAACTTGATCTGTAACTTATCAAGGTATACTCATATAGCAGAATGCAGCTTAATATCAGACGAGATGGAAACCTACAGTCTCCTCAGATTTCACCAGAAGGGGACAAATACTACACAGATATTTTTTTTTCTTTTTATGGTGATTCTGATATTCACAGATTTTTTTAAATCTTAAAAAGACAAGAAATTAATTAATTTTTACTATTATGTTTAAATTTAGAAAAAAATGTCAGAAATGAAATATGGAGATAAAAAAAAAATATTCGAGTCAAAAGTCCATTGAAACGATACAAAACAAGATCAAAGCAATCACGCGCCTCTTAAAAACAGAGGAGAGATTAAGTACCATGGAGAAGTAAGCAATGTACGTAACGTATTATCAACCTCAGCTCAAGTTACATTGCTAAAAAGATTTTCGGACGACATTTGGCAGTTCATCTGTCTTTGTTCTACCCAATTTTGGTCTCTTTTTTGATCGGGAAACCAATTTTGTTCTTGTCGGGCATACATGTAGTTATTATAATTTAGCGTCGGTTACCGATACTTCGAGTGAAGTTGTTGAATGGGCTATTGACCAAACCTCAATCATTGTACGACCATCGGCAAACAGTTTAAGAAGATTAAGAAGTCGGTGGGTCGACATTTAGAAATCGAGCATTCATGAAATATATGGAGATGACGATCAGTTTTCAAGCTCAAAAGTACATAAAACAAAACAAAATAGGAGCAGAGCAAAGACGGACCTCCAAAACATTAGAGGTGGGATCAAGTGCCATGAAGGAGTAAGCATCCCCTGCCGACCGGTCACATCCATCGTGTGCTCCTTGTCATGAACAGGAAATAACGGTAAAATCCGTCGTCAATTCAGTGTGTAAATAATGGACGAAAAACCTCAGTCAGCATTTGACTAAATGATAAATTGTATTTGCTGACAAGGTTATTGCATCGACCAAAGAACTTACGAAGTGATGACTTAAACGAGACTGCTGATATTCTTGTTTTATCGACTTGTTTGTCAATAACTTACCTCGTTGTAGAAATTGTTCATACGTAGAGCATGCTCTTGCGTATTGAATCAACGGAGAGCTAAAAATCCCGTATGCGGGTGATGAGGGTTTACTGCTGTATAAGTAAGGTAAGTTGACAATTGAAAAGTTAAAGTCATCTCGTTTGTCATAAAGCTTGGTTGTAAGATGTTGTCCGAAAGTGAACGGTGATCGGACGACGGTTGGCCGACTCAAAAATTTTCTAACTTCTAAAGGCAACAGTTTTCCCTGGAATTAATATAACTGCTTTGTCTCAATAGTAGTGTCAGCGAATCATTATTTTCTAGTGGACGATACTAAAAAAAAAAAAAGAAACTCCTATCCATCAGCTTAAACGTGACCTAGAATTTTAATAATTCTATATTATATTTAGACCCTTCGACTTTTATAAATCAAAAATTAAGACATATCACTTTACCTTCGATATCCCAGTAATATGGAACTAAAGAACTATATGCGGTATATTGCATATATTTGCCCCCACAAAAGTAAAATTTTGAAAACTTCCTGAAATATGCTGATTTCAATAAATTGTATGAGAAATATAAATTAACAGAAAATATTATAGCGTCAAAGCAGTGTATTCACAATTTTTGTTTTTATGACGTCACAAACTAGTCCGATTTTCTATCCTTTTTCAGAAAGAGGACAAAATGGACAAAATTTCAACAATTTTAGCTTTAAAATTTATAGAGCGCAAGTTTGTTCAGGAACAATATTGACATATTTCATTGATATTATCATTCTACACATTATATCAAAATATTGATCCTGAACACACATGCTCTAGGTGACTTTTACTCAAAATATCGACGAAATATGTACATTTTTCTGTAAAATTCATAAAAAACTGAAATTTACGTCATGTTTGTGACGTCATTACGCACATATGGCGTCATAACTTATGACAATATTCAGTGCTTTGAAGTCAGCATATACTCCCCTGTTTAAGAACTTAATTAAATATATCTCCATCAAAGTTTGATTTGGGGGGGCAAATATTGGTTATTACCGAATAAAGTTCTTTGAATATTTTTTCAAAATATTTTGAAATTTATCCCATTAAAATGAAACTAAAATCGAAGCAGTCGATCGTTCAACGTTTTAAAAAATATTCGTACGAGCTAACTACATGTAGTATTTATGTTCTCAAATATTGCATTTGTGAATAAGTAGGTAGAATATTGATTTGTTCGATGTTTCATCCACAATCCCATGAAATCATACTAAATTTCTGTAAATAAGTCGCGAAAGGTGTCACTAGTTCAATATAATGCGATTAAGGATATTTTTTTCTCCAAAATTTGTAATGAAATCTGAAGCGATGACGAAAAAAGGGCTTTAATCGGTAAAGCTGTGAAAATGCTGACAGATGGTTTCTCATTTATCATGAAATAGAACTCAGTGTTAGAAATATTTTTGCGCATTCAATGTTTACTAAAGTTGGGATGGGCGGGTGATAGGGTCTATCCATACATACAAATTTAACAAACAGAGATGGGTGTTCATCGCAATTTTTCAGCTATCGAAGTGCAGCATCACTACTACAAATGGATATAAATCCATGAAAGCAATACCATTTTTTCTCTCCACAAATTAATGTAAATGTCATCTAATGCATCGATAAACTACGTCAATTCTTTTCCCGCCATTTTGAAATGAATTGCATTATCTATATGAAGAACTAGCCATTATGTTTTCTTTAATCTATTTTGCCAATATTAGTCAAAAATCAATTATTATATCCGATATAAATATATATATTTAGCAAATACATAAGGGACAACAAATAAGTTTATCACACATGAGCTTTGCAAATTCGTTATCTATTTGAAGAATACTGCAGGTAAAATGTATCCAGGTTTTCTAATTATTAATCCGATGGAAGTTGAAAATAATACATTTCGGCTGCGTGCATTTCAAAAAAAAAAAAAAGCAAAATGCTTATTATTTTCCAAATTAAAACAAAATCCATGTGTTTATTTTGCAACATAATTTATGAAAATGAATTAAATTTTAATAGCTTTATAAAAAAACTCATTGTACAAACTTTCGCAAATTTAAAAAAAAATTAAATGCATATAAAATGGTACACAAACATAATTAAATATTTTTAGTTTAAAAGCGACCAATTTTCATACTGTTACAAAATAAGAAAAAAAATTTAATACACAAATTAATGCAACATAAACAGAATTTTTGTTTTTTTCAGAGAAAAAATAATACAATGCAATTTATTTTTTCTCCTAGTTTTAAGATACAATTTATTCAAACTTACCAAATATGTTCTTTTGTAACCCTTATTTTGCTTTCAGTCTGAATAAAGTTGAAAATAATCCAAAGTAAATTTAAAATAGAAAATATTTAAATCAAATTAAAGTAGTTCCTTCTTCCTCAGCTAATACAAAACTGATAGTTTCTGCCAGTCCTGCTAGCTTTAACTACTTGTTGATTAATTCTCCTAAACACACCCGGACACACCCACGACAGCCAGCTGACGCACACGTAGTAGCATCGAGTATTAGCAGTAGATGAGTTAGGTATTAAAACAATTGAAAGGGTCTATCAGAAAATTAAAATCCATACGAAGGACATAAACCATATGCATCTTCTTACCCTATAAATCATAATCTAATTATTCTATTCAGATCTAGATTAAATAAAATCATTTTGTTTCTCTCAGTCATCGGTATAGTAAAATAAAATAATGAAAAATCCTAGTTATGAGTGATAAAAAATGATATGAAATAATAACACATTAAGCGAAGAACGCGCTCTTGTTCGGCCTTGAAAATTAGAAGTACGATATATGTATCTAATGAGTATTTATTAAATGAAGATATATACATCATAAAATTAGCAAAACCAAACATTTTTAAGGAAATAATTAAGATTACTGAGTATTTATTTTAATATATTTCGAAAATTAATATATTAAGAGTGGTTAAAGTAATTTTCTGCATGAGAAAAAAATTCTCACCTACCTACCAATCCAATTCTTTTAAACCTAATCGGGAGAGGGCAAGCCAACATTACTTTAATGATGGCCTTGAGTCATTTTAGTCAGATTCTTGCACCAAGGTTGATTAATTTTTTTTTTTAGATAATTAATAAATGATCGAATTTATTATGGTTTGTATAATCGTTGCATAATTTACAAATGTTTTGTGATATTGGATGATATTTTCGTAAACTTGTGATTTATGTTCCAAATTTTAATTAATATCCGATATAAGTATCTTTTTTATGATTTATTGATAAGGTATCTTGAAATCAAATTCTAATGCAAAAAAAAAATGTTACATTACATTTTTTCATCCCTTTTGACTTACGTTCTATCGATTTACTCACTGTTTGGCAAATTTAAAACGCAACAACTTCAATGAGCATAGAATGAAATAATTCTTGTAATAATTTTGCTTAACATTTTTTTTCCAGAATCGTGTAGCACATACTGTATTATGTTATAAGGACACGCATTTTTTCAGATAATCATATAGCATGCAATGGATAAAATCTTAAAGATCAACAAATGCCATTCCAGATCATCATGTAAAATTTTAATCATTGACCTTGTGTAACTTTCAAACGACCAGTGTGAAAGAAGTACAAGTAAAACGGAGATATAAAAAGTTACTGTATTTATTTTTTTAATTTGGTAATATTAAAAGTAAAACGGCTTAAATTCAGAAAATGAAAAGTACATTCGAATGAAATATATAACAACGATGAATTGCTCTAAAGAATAT